GTCGCGGCGCTGCCGCCGCTCGAGCTGCAGAGCCTGGCTGGCGACAGCGAGCGGCTGCACGAGCGCTTCGTGCGGCTGCAGGGAAGGCTGCAGGCCGCTCGCGGCGCGGTCGTCGGCGTCTTCCGCATCGTCGTCCTCGTTGTCGCCCTCGTGGTCGCCCTCGTGGTCGCCCTCGTCGTCGCCCTCGTTGTCGTTGGCCTTCGTCGTCGCCCTCGTCGTCGCCCTCGTCGTTGTGGTCCGCGTCGTTAGGGTCGTCGTCGTGGTCGTCGTGGTCGTCATCGTCGTCGTCGTCGCCGTGGCGCGGGAGTGGGGTGTGTGGGGGGGGAGCGTCGTCGTAGAGGTGGTGGTCGGCGCTGTCGTCGTCGTCGTCGTCGTCGTCGTCGCGGTCGTCGTCGTCGTCGTCGTCGTCGTCGTCGTCGTCGTCGTCGTCGTCGTCGTCGTCGTCGCCGTGCTCGTCGTTGTCGTGGTGGTGGTGGTGGTCGTCGTCGCCGTCGTCGGACAGAGAGCCCTCGCGGCCTGCCAGGCGGCGGGGCCGCAGGGCCCCTCCGCCGCGGAGGCGGGCGAGCTGGTGGCATACCACAGGGACCTGGCGCTGTTCGTGCAGGGGGTGGAGGACTCCCTCCGCTCCGCCTCCCCCGTCCGCCGCCCCACGACCACAACCAGGGAGGAGCAGTGGTTGCGTATAGATTGAGGAGGAGGAGGAGGAGGAGGAGGAGGAGGAGGAGGAGGAGGAGGAGGAGGAGGAGGAGGAGGAGCAGGAGGAGGAGTAGGAGCTTGAGTAGGGCGACGCATTCTACACGTAATATCCACTGCTCGCACCCGTCCTCTTCCACAACCACCTACTACAGTGGAAAACCCATGCTAAGAAACACCCTGCTTGCCTCCAGGCTGCCCTGGGTTTCTTGGGTCTCGATGGTTTTGAAATGGAAGGCTTGACGTTCTCACACCGGAAATCGATTGATGTCCTGGGGTCTCAGGGTTGGGCTTCGTGTGGAAAGTTTGTCGTGGTCGAGCTCATGTTCGGGCACTGAGAGAACGCCCACCCAGACAAGTCGACCGATCACATCTGCACGGGCACACTCGGCATTGGCATTCGAGCGTGCTTGTGCAGTCCTTCGTCGGTTTCGCTAATCGACGTGCGTTTCGCTTGGCACACTCGGCTGTTATCGGACGTCGATTGGCTGCCCCACCAGGGTGCACTTGGAATGCGGTGCCGTGCGCACGTGGAGCGCCCCTGGCAGCTTTCATTCAATATCGTTTTGCTGCATGGGGGTTCTGTCCACCCCCGGTGTGAACTCTGCTCTCCTCCCCTGGATTCCTGTCCAACCGGGGCCCGTTTTCTCCCGCATGTTGAGTTACAGTCGGGGCCCTGAAAAAGGAACCCTTTTCGTTGGGGAGGGGCTCCGCGTTCCTTAAGTGTTTCACAGCTTGCCTCAGGTTGTCCTCAGGTTTTCGATGGGAAGTCGAGGTTTAACTTCTGGAGAAAAGGGGCCTCGTTCCTTATTTAGGGTTCCTTAGGTCAACGCCCCGACTGTTCTCTCCTCCCCTAGATTCCTGTCCAACCGGGGCCCGTTTTCTCCCGCATGTTGAGTTTAAGCGTATACAGGTTCCTAAAGGTGAACTGGCAACAGCTGTCCAATCGGAAGGTTCCTGGTGTTTACAAAAGGGTGTATGGAAACTGAACTGGGGCTGCCAGTCCTCGAAAACCATGTGGGTTAGCCAGCAAGGCCGGCCCAGCGATGAACATCAGCAGGGCCACATAAGATCTCATTGGCGCCACAATCGGCCAAATGATCAGCTCGTTCGTTCAAAAATTGCCCAGTGTGGCTTTCCCATTTTCTGAAGACAATATAAGAAGAAACCTGATCAAAGACATGACGAACACGAAGAACAAGTCGAAGGTTCGTCCTCCCCCGGGTGCGCCGCTGAGCCACGCCGGCCGCGTACTCCGAGTCGTACTCGATGATGACAGGTTGTGAAGATGGCATCAAAGCAATATGATCATGAACCCAAGACAAAGCGAAAAATAAAGCAGACAGTTCACCAACATTATTGGAATGATGATATGCGCCGATGTATCCAGGCTCATTCGGGTCCAGGATGGTAGGCCCACAGTAGTCCCGGAGCGAGGAAGAAGAGGAGGAGGCAACAGTAAAACCCCACCCAGACACGTCTGTATCTGGTCCAGCGGTCGCCGAACCATTGCAAGAAAGTACGAGGGCCTCGTGTACTCGAAAATCTCCTGGGGCAGGCTGCTGAGGAAGTTGGTCTTCTCGCCGGCCTGCCGGCGGTCCTCCCCCTGGTCCGCCGCCTGCTGCAGGCGGCGTCCGCTGCTTGATGCGGGGCAGAGGTGGAAGAGCAGCACGATATACATGTTCCAATGGTTGGGAACGGCACTGATCCAATTCGAGCAGAACTGGTTGTTGGCGACGCTCCGCGGCACAAGCCAAAGTAGCAATGGCATTCACGTGCAGCAGGTACTCCAAGATGTACTTCGCCTCCTCCAAAGACGGCGTCGTTTCTGCTCCCAGACAGTGCGGGACCAGTCCGCACCGTGCCAGGCAGGGGGGAAGACCGTCAGGATACGTATTCCCAGGTACGCGTGCATCAAGCACGCCGCGTGCAGCCGCATTGCACGGGCAGCTCCACAAACGGTGCATGGTGGTCTCGACCGCGCCCTTGCAGCGGACGCAGATCTCGTCGCCGTCGTGGTTCGGGATGCGGGTCTTGCTCAGGGAGGTCCAGATACCGCCGGTGGTGAGCGCGGGGCCGCCGTAGTGCAGCTGCGCGCCGAACATGTGCTCTCGTGCCTCATGCACCTCGGAGAGACCTTGGTGCAGGCCGCCGAAGTCCTTCGGCCGGCGGGCGGCCTCCCGCTCAGCCAGGCAGCGCCGCAAGAAAACACGCAGGTCGTGAAGCCGAGCGTCTACCCGAGCAGCCTTGCGCAATCGTGGATAATTGCGCCGGTCAGCTGGGGCAAGCAGCTCGGGGCGAATGCTGAAAGTGAAGGCGTAGTGGGTGCTCTTGAAAGACGTGGCAGTACGCCACTCAATGCCCAGCGCCCGACACGCTCGATCCAATAGAGTGAAAGGTCCAAATTTGTGACGTCGTCGCTGTGCCCACAAAGAGCGCCACACACTCAAAGGTACAATGTTGGCCAGGACGACCCTGTAGAACATGCGGATAGCCGTGTAGACAGCCGCGCACGTCAAGTGCGTTCGGTGCGCGCCCGGCCGAAGCAGATGGGTGAGGTCGCGCGATCTCCGACCCACTCGGCCCGGCGGTACATTGCCCATCAAGGGTACGGCGGCCCAAGCCGCTGCGCCCGACATCGTAAAAGCATAGCCGCCGTCACACCAGAGCGCCGCCACGGCGTCGGCGACACCAGCGCCGCGCTGCGTCTGCGGTAAGATGTTGACGACGTCCACTCGTTTTCGAAACTGTTGCAGGCGTCTGGCAGCGACGGGCGCTGCCACCGGTGAGCCCAAGATTAGGGCAATCCCAAGATATCTGAAAGTACGCTGTAATGGAATAGCTCGCAGCTCGGGACTGCCGCACTCGGGGGCGCGCGTACCTGTGGCCGTGACCACCCCGCGGGCACACTTCGGCACGTTCAAATCTGGGCCAAAGGCACGGTCAATCTCGCGTGTGGCTGCCAGAGCGTCTGCGAGTTCTTGCCACGAATGAGCCAGAATGAACCTGTCGTCGAGGTATCGTCGAGGTAGGAGAAGAGCGTCGCCGTGGGCACCGCCCGCTCCACTGCCAAGTGCCACATGATTGAAGCTAAGTTGCACAGCAAGCACGCCATAGGACAGCCCTGCGGTACGCCGACGAGGTTGCCGCCCTGCAACACGCCGTCCGTTGGCTGGTAATCAACGAACAAAATACGGGATAGGTTCTGGTAGTTCCGCAGGACGTGCCCGCAGATGTCCAAGCCCAGGTGGTTGGTCAGCTCCAGCAGGCTGTGCAAGTCCAGCCGGTCGTAACACTTCTCGAGGTCCAGGGACAGCACGTAAGGTGGGTCGGTCTGCGCCACGCGCGCCTGCGCCAGCTTTGCTTGCAACTCCCATAATACGTCTGGACACGAATGTCGAGGCACTGCTCCTGCCAAGCCGGCTGGTTTCCACTCCAGCAGCCACTGTGTCAGATGGGCAGTATGGCGTCGCGTCCACAATCTGTAAGTAACGGGTAAGACAGTGAGCGGCCGACGGTCGCCTGGGGGCGACTCCGGCCCTTTCGGGATAAGAGTAACCCGAGCCTGTGTCCAGAAGCCAGGCAGCCTGCCCGCGTCCGCCGCGATCAGGAGCAGGGCGAGGCGGTCCAGGGAGTCCTTGTGCAGGTTCTCCAGCCAAGCCACAGACTGGCCCTCGATGCCGCTCGCGCCGTCGGGCAGAAACTCCAGGATGTGTTCGGCACACCAAGGCCCGAGCGGGCGATATGCTGGCACAGATGGCAGCAATGATAAATCGAATCGCTGGCGCCCAAGGCGTGCAGGAGGGGCCTGGCGTTCACGAAGAAGACCAGGGTCAAGGCGAACACTGTGAAAATCAACTCGAAGTCCTGGTAGGTGTGTAATCTGGAAGACGCCGGCGTTCCACCGCCTGGCGAGCCCCCCATTGAGTTTCCGGGCCAGCTCGCGTGGAGACATGACCTCGGCGCCGAAGGCGGGCAGGATAGCTTCGCAGAGCGTGTCCAGCCTGTGCTTCACCCACTTGGCCGCGCCACCTCGCGTACCCACCCGTTGTCGCCAATCTTTGAGTCTCATGCTGTTCGCGTCGTCGATGATGGACGTGATCATGCCCAACGTGTTGTCGGCCTCGTCGGGCCGCCCGTCGTGGAGCTGGCGCCGGAAGGTCCTCCATAGACTGTGGAGCTCTCGAGCTCGCGCCCCGGCACACCATCCGCCTCCGTCGGCCTGACGTAGCACGCGGGCCTCCGGAGCACCAGCCGCGTCGGCCCAGATAGCCCACGCCTGATCGATGTCGGACGGGAGCGCGTCTGCAAACTCGTCCTTGGCAGTAGTAGTCCAAGCGTCCATGCGCATAGGCTCGGAGACGGCCCACCGGAGGCTCTCGTGAAACTCAGGAGGTAAAGCCGCTTCCACCAACACAGGGCGATGTTGTGAATACTCGACAGGATCCAAAGCTGTAGCTGTGGCTGCAGCCGCAAGCGCGGTAGCGAATACCGCTCCATCGATGGTGGTCTGCCACTCCCCTACATGTGGGTTGCGGCGGAAAGTAGGCTCCGTAGGACAAATCGCCACCCGCTCCTCCCCGGCGTAGTGGACCGGGCGCTCGTTGAAGTCGCTCACGTCGATGGTGAGACGGGCAGGCTCGGTGAGGAGGCTGGCGTTGAACCTGCTACGCTCCGAAGCGGAGCCCGAATGGGCGTGCTGGTGCCGCACCAACACGCGCCTCTCGCCCAGCTGCAAAGCCAGTCGTTGCACACGGAAGTCAGTGTCATTCTGAGTGGCCGCGATGGGCGCTACATTTAGGCCGTCTCGGACAATAGTGCACATACCATGGCAACCAATGTGAACATGATACCCCAAAGTATGCAGATCAGCTCGCAAGATGTGCCGCTGTCCATTGGGAAGGGCATGTTTACAAAAGGGTGGCCCAGCTGCGACGTTGGCTTTGTGTGTTTGGATCGGCGCTCTTCCTCCCGCCGTTCACAACGGCCCTCTCGCCCAAGCGCGGGCCACAGTTCAGGGCTCGACTTCTTCATCGTCGTCGGCGCCCCGCTCCTGTCCTCTCCTCCTCCGTGCACTGGTCCTCCTGCTCCTCCCGCTCCTCCTGCTCCTGCTCCTGCTGCCGCTGCTCCTCCTCGTCCTTTTCATTCCTCATCCTCGTTTTGCCCACCCTCTTGCTCATCCGCCACCTCCTCCTCCTCCTCCTCCTCCTCATCCTCCTCCTATTCCTCCTCCTCCTCCTCCTCCTCCTCCTCGGATGTACACAGGGCTCCTTCTCTTTTTGCGCATAGCATGATGTGATCCTTTGAGGGTTCCAGTTCCGCTGTGTCACCCGTCGGCGGATAGAGAAACATCAGCGCAATGGGAAGGGATTGGTGTGAATGGGGTAGGATGTCAGATGTGACGCGAGCCCCCTCCTTTCTCCTGCCTTCTCTCCCTCTTCCCTTCCCCAGCCCCTCCCCCTCTCCCCTCACCTTCCCTTCGACATCTCACCTCCCCCTTCCCCGACCCCTCCCCAACCCCTCCCCCTCCCCTCACCTCCCTCTCACCCTCCACCCCCCCTCTCCCCCGAACTCTGCCCCTCCCCCTTCCCCCCCCCTCCTCCCCCCCCCAGAGCCGACCGACCTGGACCTCTCGGGGGGTAGGGTCTGGGAGTGATGCCTTGCCCCCCCCCCCACACCACCTCTCCCCCTCCCCTCCCCTTCCCCCTCCCCCTCCCTCCCCCTCCCTCTCCCCTCCCCTCTCCCCTCTTCCTCCCCCTCTCCCCCCTCCCTCTCCCTCCTCCAACATCACCAGCACTGGCAATCCCCTCATCATTGTCACCAGCCCTGTGCAGTCTCTACCTTGCCGTGCTCGACGGCCAGGGCTCCCCCAGCATGCTCCAACACTGGGCTCCGTGGCTTTCTACCTGGGTCTCTTGATGCTGAAGGGCCCACGGGAGTAGAAAGGAAGTCGGACGTTACCCGCCCCACCACCCTAAGCAATCTTGGCGTGGCAAGTGTGTGCTGGCTTCTCAATCATAGCCCAGCGGGCTGCGGGAACCCTTTGAGACCACCCCCAGAGGGGCTCCATCAAAGGACGCAACCCGTCTGACAACATCCTGGGACGAGACGGCTATCTCGCTTCACAAGACGTGCTCCACGCCGACTCCGAGGGGGGCCTCGCCCTCTTCGGTTTGAGGCCTGTTCCCCATCTCTGGACCATGGTTGGATTTTCGAAATTTGGGAGCGTACCGTCGGGGCCCTGAAAAAAGGAACCTTGTTCGTTGGGGAGGGGCTCCGCGTTCCTTAAGTGTTTCACAGTTTGCCTCAGGTTTTCCTTATGTTTTCGATACGAGATGGAAGTTTAACTAGTGGAAAAAAGGGGCCTCGTTCCTTATTTAGGGTTCCTTAGGTCAAGACCCTCACTGTATTAGAATTCCTTGGAGCATCGTCGTCGCTTTCAGCAGCCTGTACAGGGCTGTTTCCATCAGCATCATGTTTGGGGGGCTCATCTCGGACGGATTCCTCCTAAATCGTAGCGTACGGCAGAGATGCCCGCTCAGCGGCTTCATCTTCGCGTTGGCCCTCGACCCGTTCTTGTGTGCCCTTCGCCAGCACTGCCCATATGCCGATGGCGAGATCTGCACTTTCGCCGACGACGCCAGCATTGGCTGTTGGGAAACATGTTGCCGAACCTGCTTCGCATTTTCGTCCGCCTGCCTGCGCGCCAGGCCTCTCTGTTAACTGTGCCAGGCCCGTCGTTGTTACCCGGTTTTTACACTAAAGACGAAGCGCTTCAGAAGTTCCAGCAAGCTGGCGTAGATGTATCCAGCTTCACGGTCCAGAGAACTCGGGGGTATCTCGGAGTCACCCTCGGCCGAGGGACCGCCTTTCATGGCACGCCCAGTTTGCGAAGTTAACGCTCGCGCCTGAGAGACCAAAAACAGGAGATCTTTCACTCATCTCATCTGTCGCTCTGTTTAGTTTTGTTGGACCGCCGTCTTATTTCATGTAGGCCAATACTTTACAGTGTGCCGTGAAGTCAAAGGTGCATATCGCAGGTCAGTGACCCACAAACAGCCCGCGCTTTTTAGTTTCGCACTTCTCCCTCCTGAAGCTCGACGATCTACAAATCCGTCCTCCTCTGTGGGATCTTGAGTGCGAGGTTTGGGCATATGTATATCATTGTGCCGTGGAGCGGACTGCCTACCATTGCGTGGTGCATGACTTTGATGAGCTTTGGAAGGAGGGGGACTACGTTGTCGCTCATCGCCTCCAGCACATGTTCAAGTATTCGTTTCTTTCTGTATGCGCGAGAACGTGAAGAGCCTAATTAGCATCCCTGGAGTACCCCGCTTTTGTTAGGATTTTTTTTTCAATGGTCCGTGTACGAGCAGTTGCGGGAATTTGATCCCAGACATGTTCGTGAGTCCCTCTTCCCCCGCTTTAAACACCGGGGTCTTGAGCCATCTTCGGGCCAGATCGACATTGCCCTGCGTAGGTCCTCGTGGGTGCCCCTTGATTGCGGTCTCGACTCTGCTGAGCTGGGCCAACAGCTGGAGCAAAAGTGCTCGGTATAGGCAAGCCACCTCTTTGTGTAGATCTCTCTGATCAGATGAAGCACTACCTCCGATGCCCTGAAGCCCTGCCCGCAATCCAAAAGTTGGCGCCGTCTCTTCCAGCATGCTGGGAATCGGCGACCTTTTCCCATGTCCGCTGTCCCGAGCCCCTCTTTCTCTCATATCCTGCACGGGTGCTGTCGTTGAATGTTGCCCTCGATCTGTTTCGCATCTCTTTCTGCGGCCTCAGGTCGCGCGAGGCGGTCTCCTCGCCTCTTGCCCGCTCCTGCTTTCACGCGCGCCTGCGCGCCCTCGCACGGAAACGCGGTCGGGTGCAAACACTCGCAGCAATTTGAACGATACATTGCAGAACTGACGGGGGGGGGAGTCCGTAGTATCAGCATCATCGTCGTAATCACTAAAGTCATCATCACCATCATATCATCAACCTCATCAGCCATCATCGCCAACGCGCCATCGTCAACATCATCAGCCATCATCGCCATCATCGCCAACACGCCATCGCCACGCCAACATCAGCAACATAGTCACCATGATCACCGCAATCATCACCATCATCACCACCACCACCGCCATCATCACTACCATCATCATGACCATCAAGAGCAGCATCATCATCACCATCATCATCATCATCGTCGTCATCATCACCATCATCACCATCATCATCATCATCATCATCAGCATCATCATCATCACCATCACCATCCCCTTAGCCCCCCGCTCCAACTCTGCCAGGACAGGCTGGGCGTCACCGGGCCGCCCCCAGCGCCTCCGCCGGCAATGTCCGCGAGGCTGGGCGGCGGCCTCGGAGGAGGCAGCGGCGGTGGGGCTCCCTCCTCCTCGTCCTCCAGGCCCTCGTCCTTTTTCCCCCCTCCCCCTTCTCCTCCTCCTCCTCTTCCTCCTCCTCCTTCTCCTTCTCCTCCTCTTCCTCCTCCTCCTCCTCCTCTTCCGTCTCCTCCTCCTCCTCCTCCTTCTCCTCCTCCTCCTCTTCCTCCTCCTCTTTCTCCCCCCGTTCCCCCCCTCGCCGAACCTCGGCGCGCTCTCTCGTCTCGCTCTTCTCGCCCGTGGCCGTTGGCTCTCCTTGTGCCCGTCCTTCCTCCCCCGTCTGAGGCGCGTCTGCGGCGACGAAATCGCCAAATGGGCGCGGATCTGTTTGCCCCTTGTTTCGGGGGGGCGGGCGGGGGAGGGGGGGGGAAGGGGGACGTAGAGGAGGAGTGGCGTTCGGAATAGTAGGATGACGCTGAGGAAGGTGAGAAGTTAGAGGGCGAGGAGGAGGAGGAGGAGGAGGACTCATTATCCGACCTGACAGCAACGTCAGGAGAGTGATTGCCAGACGTTTCTGTGATGATCACACCCAATTCCAGGCCTCAGCCGAAAGCAGTCTCCAGTGCTAATAGCAATTGAGCGACGTGGCAGAATCCCGACATCTGTTGGATCCTGGCTCTTGCCCTGTGCCACCTCCACCGCCCATGCTTGTCAGACCTCCACCAGTGCGCAGGCCCTGGGTATACAAGGCTCCGGCCGACGTGCCAGCCAAGAGGTGCCCGCAGCTGAGTACCCAGAAGAAGAGCCCAACCAAAACGATTGAGCAGACTTCTAGATGAATATGGACACTCCTGGTGGTGCGGGGGCTGAGAGAGCTCACGGCGATATGCAACTGAGACCGCAGTGCTGCTGACGCCCACATGGACTTCAGTATGAATGGTTGTGGCCATCATGTCACAGTGCCCTGTGCGTTCCTTGTCACAGTTGTGTTGTGAGTATACGTGTCTGGCACTCTACGTTATCGTCTCCTGACTGTAATGTCTGCTGCTACTGGACCTGCTCCGCAGAGGCTGAGGACCCCAGGTTTTCTGGGGATCTCTCCAATATCTCATTCCCATGTATATGTCGTCCTCTTCGTCGGGTGAGGTGGGGCCTTCTGTCTCGTGTACTCATTTTTGTATCGGTTGGTAATGACATGTCTGATGTTACCAGGCATGGGCTCCGCTGAGGATCTCCCGAATGGTGAGGTGAAGTGAAAAACTATGTCGAAGAGGAGGAGGAGGAGGAGGAGGAGGAGGAGGAGGAGGAGGAGGAGGAGGAGGAGGGGGAAGAGAAGGAACGGAGGAGGAGGAGGAGGAGGAGGAGGAGGGAAAGGAGGAGCAGTCGGAGGAGGAGGAGGACGAGGAGGAGGAGGAGGAGGAGGCGCTGGCTGCACAGCGCGAAGAGGCCATTCTGGACCTCGAAATGCAGCGGCCGGGCCAGCCGCGCGCCTTCTTCGATGTCACTGTCAGGTACAGCGTACCGGGTGACATCGACGCGCTGCGGTCCGCCGCCGGCCGCGACGGCTCCATCAACGCCGCCGCAGAGGCGGACCAGCATCGCCGGTACCCAGTGGTGGTATCACCTTGGCGGATGGTGCCTTTGGCGCTGGAGACTGGCGGCCAGCACGGCCACGCCGCTTTCTGGCACCTGCGCAGCCTTGCCCGGGACCAGGCGGCTCTGCTGGCGGCGGGCGACGAGGGCGAGGCGGACGCCCTGGCCGGCCAGCTGGTGGCCCGTTGGGGGCGGGAGTTCAGTGTAGTCTTCCACCGGGCCACAGCGCGACAGCTGCGGGCGGCCCTGGGGGCGGACTAGGCTGGCCGTGCGGCGGCGCTGCACCCCGCCGAGCCGGGCGGCAGCTGGGGCGTGCTGTTTGTCACCTACTGGGTCGCCTCGTTCTTGGCGGCGGTCAGTATGGGCGCAAGCGCGGCCGTCGGCAAAGCGACCCGCGCCGCGGCCCTCGCAGGATGATGATGATGATGATGATGATGATGATGATGATGATGATGATGATGATGATGATGATGATGATGATGATGATGATGATGATGATGATGATGATGATGATGGTGATGGTGATGGTGATGGTGATGGTGATGGTGATGATGATGATGATGGTGATGATGATGATGCTGCTGATGATGATGATGATTGTGATGCTGATGTGATGACGATGATGGTGGTGGTGGTGGTGGTGGTGATGATGCTGCTGCTGATGATGAGGATGCGGATGATGATGATGACGATGGATGGTGATGATAATGATGATGATGATGATGATGCTGATGATGATGATGATGATGATGATGATGATGATGAGATGATGATGATGATGCTGATGATGATCATGATGAGATGAGAGGATGATGATGATGATGAGGAGGAGGAGGAGGATAAGGAGGAGGATAAGAGGAGGAGAGGAGGAGGAGGAGGAGGAGGCAGGAGAGGAGGAAGAGAGGGAGGAGGAGGAGGAGGAGGAGGAGGAGGAGGAGGAGGAGGAGGAGGAGGAGGAGGGAGGAGCGAAGAGGAGAGGAGGAGGAGGAGGAGGAGGAGGAGGAGGAGGAGGAGAGGAGGAGGAGGAGGAGGAGGAGGAGGAGGGAGGAGGAGGGGGAGGAGGACGAGGAGGATGAGGAGAGGAGGAGGAGGAAACAGGGAGGAGGAGGAGGGGAGGAGGAGGAGGAGGAGGAGGAGGAGGAGGAGGAGGAGGAGCAAGGAGGGGAGGAGGAGGGAGGAGGAGGTGGCGGAGGGAGGAGGAGGATGGCGAGGAGGAGGAGGACGAGGAGGAGGAGGAGGAGCGGAGGGAAGGCGGCAGGAGCAGGGATGATGGGGGGAGGAGGAGGAGGAGGAGGAGGAGGAGGGGGATCAGATGGAGGAGGGAGGGTCGGGGGCCGCGGCGCCCAGCCCTGCCCGCCCTCGTCCGGCGCCGCCCCCCCCCCCGCCCATTTCTGGCACCGTGGCTGTGCTCGCCTCCCCCGAGCCGTCGTCGTCGTCGTCGTCGTCGTCGTCGTCGTCGTCGTCGTCGTCGTCGTCGTCGTCGTCGTCGTCGTCGTCGTCGTCGTCGTCGTCGTCGTCCGTCGTCGTCTGCCGTCGTCGTCGTCGTCGTCGTCGTCGTCGTCGTCGTCGTCGTCGTCGTCGTCGTCGTCGTCGTCGTCGTCGTTGGCGACGTCCGTCGTCGTTCGCCGTCCGTCGTTGTCGTTCTTCGCCATCGTCCGTCGTCCGTCGTCCGTCGTCGTCCGTCGACGACGTCGTCGTCCGAGCGGCGCGGGCCCCCGATGCCAGCCAGGAATCCCGCAGCCGCCCGCCGGGGGCCCCGCGTCGCCGCCGCGGCCGCTGGGCGGCCTGGCGGGGCAGCCGCCGCCCCGGCCGCCCAGCGGCTTCGCCGCGCAGCCGCAGTCGGCCGAGCAGCGGCTGCAGGCGGGGCGGCCTCGTCGAAGCGGGGGGGGCTCTGCCTCGGGGTCCGCTTCGGTCCTCGCTCCTGGATCCCCCTCGGCCCTCGATCCGCCGTGGCCCTCCTCGGCCCTCTTCCTGCTGCTCTTCTCGTCGCCCCCTGCCTTCCGTAGCCATGTTGGCCCAAGGTTATCCTGGTTCAAAGCGTCCACGGTAGTTCCGTTGCAAGAGTGCTCCCCTGACACTTTCTACTACAATATATACCGTTTTGTCGCGCCACCATTCTCGGCGGGGATGCCAGAACGTCATCTTCTCAACGCCTCAACGCGGCCAGAGGCAAAACAACAGAGGATGAACAGCCCGCTGCGCAAGATGGACGGGTTGGACGACGCAGCCGAGCTTGCCGCAGGTGGCGTCTGAAGTGTGGACGACGGGACGAAACAACAGCAGGCACCTTTCCAACAACGTCTTGCAATCGCATCGGACGGTGCACTGTTAACGGTAAGTATGCTGTCACGCATGCTACTTGAGCACCTGGGGCCGATCAGGTTCGACATTGCCGCGATCAAGCAACACGGCGTATCGCACGCAGACCTGAAACCATTAAAAACATCGATTGGCGGCCTTACTTTGCGCATTGCAGCCATTGAGGCTTGAGGCTAACCGTGCTGTTACGAGACACTAATCGGCAACATCGGGGGCAGCCCCCAGCATGAATTCCACGATCGAGGATAAATTGCACGGGTTGGCGCGCGAGGTGGACAATCTTCGTGGGAAAAGGTTTCTAGGACCACTTAGCAACACTACGGCATCAACGACCGCCTACACAGCTGGGAAAAGTTATAACAACATCAACATGACGATCGTCGTGAATGATCTGCAGGCGGCGACGCCCAAAGAGGACCATTCAGTGATATTCGTCTTTCAATGTTGGCAGTGCGCAGGCGTGCACCATGGGCCAGGTCATTGATATGCCACTGGCTTGCGCGCATTGGGGGGTGGACGCCACTTAATGCCCGGGTGCTCTTCCAAGTTGCTCCTTAACAGGGCCGGTGGCGCGGGCGGTTCCACGTTCTGCCTTGCGGTTTCGTTCCCACCAGTCGGATGGCTAACATGCAGCGCGCAATGCAGACGAGACGCTTCTCCGTAACATTGACAGGCGGATGTCGCTTGATTCGACGGGCACCGCCTGGTCTGATTCAACATATTTTCGGCTTCTATCCATGTTGCCATTTTGTAATATATTTTCACAGGGGTGGGTAATTCGACTTAAGTACTGGGTTTCCGCACGACTCCGTCTAGCTCCAACCTCCCATGTCCAAGTAACGACTTAAAACCTTCAACAACCCCGACTAAAAGTCAGTTCGCACCCGTGCACTGATCACCGTCAACGAAACATGGAGAACGACAGAAAGAGAGAGAGAGAGAGAGAGAGAGAGAGATGTGGACCACCTGGGAAATACATACTCTCAGCTGCACGACATGATCGCCATCCGCGAGCAGTGGCGATTGTGTTAAATAGCCAGCATGCCCGATTTATCAAGAGTTCACAGCCATCAGCGAGAGGATCGCTTACATGGACTTGGACTTGCCAGAGCAATCCATGAGGATAATCCGTCGTAT